TGTCGTTGGGAATTAACCGATTTGTTGCTCTCGCGTCTTAAAAACCTAGTTCCTTCACCTCCAAAACTCGGAACTTTATATTTGCTTTCGATTGCCATTAGCCCCTGATGATAGAAAACAGACAACATATCTTTGGCTTTATTTGTTTTATTCAAAGTCGTCCTGTGTCACAATCCTTTCGAGTAAAAAAACATTCCTGCTAGCTTCGCTTACTAAAACTCATTCAGCGCGTCAAGTCCTTTGTTCTCTTTGAAGAGCGTTCTAGAGATCTAAAGTCACAATGTTGTATCTACAGAGGGAAAAAGAACGAAATCACAGTCCTTTATACAGTCAATAGTTCACTTGCGCGCCGATCGACGCCTCCTGCGGACTCTGCGTGCCTTCTTGGGCGCGGCTCTCTTTGCCTTACGAGTGCCTTTGTAGTATTTCTTTACAGCGCGCTTCTTGGCCGCAGATTTGCCACGTCTGGCCTTACGTCTCTTGGTGGCCTTTTTTGCTTTGCTCGCTTTTGCTTTGGCCTTCTTGGTGACTTTCTTCACCGATTTCCTGCCCGGACTCTTTGATTTTGAGCGGGAACGAGATCGGGAGCGTGTCTTGGAGCGTGACCTTGAGCGTGATCGTGAGCGTGATCGTGAGCGGGATCGAGATCTCTTTACTTTGAGTTTAAACGAAGTGCCACTTTTGACGAGGGCTTGCGATTTCACTCCGCGTGCCAAGGCGAGCCTCAATTGCAGAGCAGTAACACTTTTCGTTCCAGGCTGCGATGTAAGGTAGGCCAAGATCGCTTTGGCGCTTGATCCCTTGCGGTCTTTCAGCGCAGCGATGGCTTTGACCACCGCCTGTCTGGTAAGGGCGGGCTTTTTTCCTCCCTTCCTGCGTGCGGCCCTCTTCTTCTTGGCTACCACTGCTTTCCTGGCACCTCGGCGAGCTTTGGCCATTTTAGAACTGTTCTGGTGAATTTTTCGACGGAGCTAAAAAAAGTACGTCTGGACAGTTCGGTGGCAAGTGGCAAATGACTTAATTCGTGGGGTACACGTCATAGACATAATTGCCAATTAACTAATTAACGCGAGTTCGTAAACAAGTCATTAGGCTAATTTAATCAATAATTACTGACGTCATGGCAACGTCACGAATGCACATTACCAATTAGGTGAGTTTGTAGACAAGTAGTGAAACTTTGAAACAAATATTTAGTGACGTCTCCGTGACGTCACGAATGACTATTACCAATTTGTCACGCAATCCAGGTAGTGTGTGACTGTAGAAAAACGTGTCACGCTCGAAACCAAACCTACAATAGTCGAAATAAAACCCACATCAAATTCTTGTTTAAACCACAATATTTCTCCACAGACCACATGCAAACTTTTTCAGATCGGATACAACCTTACTCCAACATAAAAAGTAA